AATATTTTCATATAAATATATACATTCAGGCACAAATGTTATTTAATACTGTTTATCTTAAACAGACATTTGCAAATACTTGTATATATATATATATAAATAAAAAATATATATATATATATATATATGTGTGTGTGTGTGTATGTATATAAATAAAAAGAAAGGACAGCGAGCTATATAATCCGGTGTTCTTATAGATATTTTATTTTTACAAAATAGTGCTCAATGTAAATTTACAGAGCATTAATTTTATAAATTGATTGATTTAAAATATATTTTTTCGCTACACAGTTCTAACCATGTTTCAAAAATGGAAGCTAAAAGCCAAAAAAAAACAATTTTAAAAATCGTAATATAAATATACTTGATGTAGAATAATAATTTTACTGACGGTAAGTAACTCGGATGCATTTTACTTCTATTAAATGAAATATAGTCTAAAAAACTAATAATGAAAATATTTTAAAGTTGTAATTAAAACTGTAGTTAATTAAAATGAATTCTAACCTAAACTTCTTTTAATTTGTAATTATATAAATAAATAAAGTCTACTAAATCGAGAAATGAAAATTTTACTTTAGTAATATTTAAATATAAAATTTTTTAAAAATCGTAATATACTTTAAATATACGGGAAAAAAGAAAAAAAAATGCCGTAAGAATTTTAACCGTTAACAATATAATTTAAAAAAAACTCTAGATGACATGCTTTAACGGAAGTTAGATTTCATTGAATAATGCATCCCTTCCCACGACCCAAACGTAGCAATAACTGATACATTAAATTATAGACATATTGAAAACTCAGCCACCCCTGTCTAGAAAAATAGATTTATCTGTAACCTTGGAAACATGAATTTTGTTTTAGCTATGTATTTAAAATCCAGTAATTTTAAAAAGTTACTCCAAAATTCGATTGAGGATGAAATGGAACTAATGTCTTTAATTTAATCACAAAATTAAATTCGTACCTTTTAGCTTCCATTTTTGAAACATGGTTAGATCTGTGTAGCGAAAAAACATATTTTAAATCAATTAATTTATAATATATATATATATATATATATAAAATATGTGGGGCAGTTTAATTTATATTAACAATGAATGTTTCATACAAAAAGTAAGTAAATGATATAAAATGGCCAATTCACTTCGTTAACTAAATTTTAAAAATGCATTAAACCACTAACCACTCGATGAATGATATGATCCTTGTATTTTAAAATTATATACACTCATAGGTCTTCTTCTTCGCTGCCAAAAAAAGATGAACCTTAGCGTTGCACACTGCACGCTCCACAATTTGGATATCTGTTATCAATAACACAATTCAAAAACATATTTCGATTTGCATTATATTTTTCGTTTCGGATGCTATCTGAATTTTCCGAAAAAGAAAATGGTTTCCATGACTGATGATGACTGGAGGACCCGTGGAAAATACTGGTATATTTAAGGAACACCTAATATGGTTTATAATTTTGAAAAACATGGATCATAATATTCATCGAATGGTTTATATCATTAACTTTTACTAATTTATTTTTTGAATGAATGATTCATTGCAATATATATATATATATATATATATATATATATATATATATATATATATATAAGAACAGGATGGAGGGAGAAACTGAATGTTTTGAAAATCTTAAGAAAATTTTTACAACGAACCGAATTTTGCACATTTCATGATCGTTAAGCTCAAAGTGAAACACATATATATACAAGCGCGCACCCACACACAGACGCATATATATTCATATAGTGAAGCACACACGCATAAAAACACACGTGTATGTGTGTGCGTGAGTGTGTGTGTGTGTGCGTGAGTGTGTGTGTGTGTGCGTGTGGTTTTTGTGTTCATTCTCCTGAAGCGTATTTTCAGTCCACAAATAGCTAAAATAGGTGAAGCGTGTGCCATCATTCGACCCTGTCTTTTGAGCAGCACGCCAATCTGAAATAATACTTAAAATAGCATTTTGAGTTAAGTTCAGAGACTCCATTATACCAATACAATTGTATTAGTATACTTATTTTACTATCTTTCCTTTTATGCAAATATAAGTAGAATTAAAAATATAAACAGCGCAGTTTACATTTTATATGATAAATGCATATGCGCATACAACTGAATTCTAAACTTTATTTTTGAGATACATTTTATATCTGCTTTTCTCATCTATTTATTGAAAGCACGATGTAGACAGACATATGCACATTAGCCTGTAGATGTATTTACATATCGATTTAACAGATAAAGGAAAGTCCAATAGACTTATCTTGAGACCAGCCCTGAGTATCTGGTATACAACGCTCGTGAGGATTAGATGTACACTACGTGCCAAATTATTATCGATATAACTTTTTTCTAATATTTCAAAAACCGTCCAATCAATTCACACAAAATTTTCACACAATATTCGCAACACGGACCTGCGCAAATCACTGAAATTTTCGTACTGATCTGCGCAATGTGAACAAACTGGCGCCATATTTGTTATCAGCACGGGGATTTGAACGTGCCAAATAATTAGAAAAGTATAAAAATTTACTGAAAAGATGGGCCCTAAAAGCAGTTTAAGTGATGCTTAAAAGAAAACTATTACCTCAGAACTCTAAAAAGGTAAATCTATCCTAGAAATTTTTAAAATGATAGGAAAGTGTCATCAAACAGGGAAAAATTCACCGCCGACCCTACACAAGTACGCAAAAGGGCTGATAAAGTCAAGCCGAGGGATATTTCACGTCGTCTCATGTCACGACTTAAACGAGAGGCCACGAAGAACCCTGGACTTACCAGTCAAGAGCATTTCAGTCGTATTGGGGATCCTACTGTGTCTAGAAGTCCTCGGTGTCGGTATCTGAAGGAAATACTGACAACAGTCAAACCTGTATCGAAGTCTCCTTTGACGAGAAATCACATTCAAAATCGATTGAATTGGGCCGAGGACAATATGAAGATTGACTTCTCTAAACTTTTCTTCACATACGAAACTCGAGCAACACTTGATGGGCCAGATAGATCGTGCAAATGCTGGTTAATGAACGGACAGAATTGCCATCAGCGTTTGAAACACCAACATGGCGGTGGAGGCATAATGATTTGGGGTGGTATTATTGGAAACACATTACTAGGCCCATGGAGAGTACCAGATGGCGTCAAAATGACTGCTGATGCATACATAGCTTTTATGAAAGAGCATCTAGAACCGTGGATGAAAAGGCAAAGAGTTGCGATCAGAAGGGCCATTGTTTTTTATGCAAGATAATGCTCCCTCACACGCTGCTCACAAGACCACTGAATATTTGAAAAAGTTAGGCTTCGATGGACCTCGAAAAAGGAAGTAGCCAGCAAATTCTCCGGATTTGAACCCAATCGAAAATCTTTGGAGCATCATGAAGCGAAGACTCTACGCCAACGGACGACAATTCAGGAGCAACTCTGAGTTGTGGGAAGCAATTCTTGACATATTTCGTGGCACTACAGCAGATGACATCCTACAATTAACAAATTCTATGGATCGTCGATTTTTTCAATTAATTTCAAAACAGGGAAAGCACATTCACTATTAATTTGTTTAAAACCGTGCCTTTATTTGTATCTGTTATTATTTGTTTGATTATCTTCTTTATTAGCTTCTTTTGATCATAAACATTCATGAGCAACATTAATAAACGTTTTGTTTGCTCAATTCTGGGAATTTTACTAAACCTTTCTAATAACTTGGCACGATCAAATCACCGTGCTGATAACAAATATGGCGCCAGTTTGTATACATTGCGCAGATCAGTACGAAAATTTCAGTGATTGCGCAGCTCAGTATTGCCAACATTGTGTGAAAATTTTGTGTGAATTTATTGGACAGGTTTTTGAAATATTAGAAAAAAATTATCTCGATAATAATTTGGCACGCAATGTATATGCTGAGCGGTCGATTCGCGGAAAGTAATGACAAAGCAAGATAGATCTTTTCAATTTTGCTTTTTATGTTTACAAAGAACTGCTTTCATTTAGAGACTTTACATGTTAGTAATGTAACGTGCTTAGTTGTGTCGTGTATCTATCTATCTATCTATCTATCTATCTATATATATATATATATATATATATATATATATATATATATATATATATGTGTGTGTGTGTGTGTGTGTGTGTGTGTTTTGTGTGTGTGTGGGTGTAGGTGGAAAATATATTGAGAAATTTAATGCAAAGAGAAATATGTTTTTGAAGTGTCCTATAAATATAAGATACAAACATGTGGAGCGTGCAGTAGCAACGCTAATGTTGAATTTTTGAAAAAGTTTTTTTTGAACTGAATTCGACATTTTCTATCATAACTTTTGCTCATTTACTTTTTGTATGAATCATTGATAGGAATAAATTAAACTGCACGAAATATATGATTTAGAAGAACAGATGCGACGTGTAAATTTTCGGAAAAGCAACTGAGCCATTGCTCTACGTATTGAAATATTCATTTCATGCAACGTTGACCGTGTGTGTGTGTGTGTGTGCAAATATATAGAAAAATAGAAAAGAAACGTTAGGTTAATAATCCGAAGTTTTTTAGAATTTTTGTTTTATTCTTAAAAAACTGTGCTCATACTAAAAAAATCCTATATTGCTATTATAATTAAATATTATAATTATATATATATATATATATATATATATATATGTGTGTGTGTGTGTGTGTGTGTGTGTGTGTGTGTGTGTGTGTGTGAAGCAATATAATCTTAAGATGTGCTATATTTATAGGATAAAGTGATCAATATCAGACATAGAGCGCGTGTAAATATAAAAGTAAACATTGAAGACAACACTTAGAGGCGACAGTCTGTTTCATGATAGATGCATGACGATTGCATCTAGCATGAAACAGACTGTCGCCTCTAAGTTTTGACTTATGTTCACTTATATATATATATATATATATATATATATATATATATATATATATATATATATATTTCAATATACGCTCCTTTTATCTTAAATAGATATAAGATAGATAGATAGATAGATAGATAGATAGATAGATACAATTAAAATTGAAATATAGAAATTGTTTCTGTACGCTTTGGTTCCGAAATTGGAAAGAATAAAACTTTCGGAAATATAAACGATAAAAAATTGTTTAAAAACAATGTCAGGATCACAAATCCCTTGACCCTCCAGGATCCTGGGGAGACTACATGCACCCCAGTCGCAGCAGTAGTGTTTTTTTTTTCTTGAGCGAGATCGCAAACAGCGTCATCCTTTCCAAGAAATTTTGAATTCAGCATTTTCCTTCTGCTAGGCCAGTTGACAGCCAAGGCTATAGAACCCATTCTGACTTGCTATTTACCCATAGCTGTGGTGGGAGAAGAAAAGGATTGATATATTTACCAAGTTATTAACATCTGATCCGAGCCGCTATCCATTGCTCCATCGTTCATCCACAATGTCAATATACAACCTTGCTTAATTCGGATACTCATCGGTGTCCAGTCAGTGAAATCACGTCAGATCTACCGATGATTTCTACTGCAAAGTGAGTAGCAGTTTCGAATCTGAATGAAAGGCGCATTCCTCTTTAATTAAAATAATGGAGTAATCAGGTCATATACAATAAATATAAAATGCTCTTTAAAATAAAGTCAGTGTTCATTGAATTAAATTTTAATATGATAAACTACGACTGATTCATGAAAAGCAAATATATATATATATATATATATATATATATATATATATATATATATATATATATATATGTGTGTGTGTGTGATCCAGAATGTTGATGGTATTTCATCATTCCGAAAAATAAACTTTTACCAATGAAGATAGAAAGGAATAATGTTTCATCATTTTAACCCTCATTATTATAAAAAAAACCCTTCTACAATAAGAAAAAAGAGGAGATTGGGGCAGATTAGAACAATAATTTATACTATTTAATCTATAGTAACTGTCAGTAGATGTAGCAGTAAAGGAACACAGGTCTAGCCAGCGCTCTGTGATGACTGAAAACATACGATTTCAAACATCATCCTAACAAACGAAATTCTCGAAACCAAACAAATTACGCACTGCCTTTTAGACTGAGAACAGTTTTACACAAATAATACGAATATTCTGTATTTTTATCAGAAAAAGAAAGTCCAAATTCGTGATATTTATGTCAACACGTGTCTTAAGTTGTTTTTTTATTGCTTATGTTGTTTTTGTACGTTTAATTTATTTCGTTTCTGTATTAAAAAAAGTAAGAAGTGTTCCTCTTACTCTACAAATATATATATATATATATATATATATATATATATATATATATATATATATATATATATATATATATATATATATATATATATATATATATATATATATATATATATATATATATATATATATATATATATATATATATATATATATATATATATATATATATAAATTAAATGTTTGTCACTTAGCTGATTGATGTTAACTTATGCATCCTGTCTTCAGCGTGTGTCAGCAATTGACTGCTTATACTTCTCGATTTTTTTCCTTATATGCACTTATCGTTGATACAATTTTGATTTTTCATGTGTGTGTGTGTGTGTGTGTGTGTGTGTGTGTGCGCGCGCGCCCCTTCTCTTGTGTTCTCCCATGCGCACGTGAGTACGTGTATCGTGTCTTGATTATTTAGTCTTTGCTTCGTACATTTTATTCAATTCAAAGTTACTTAATATTTTTTCTTTCTTTTTTCTTTCAAATGGCAACATTCGAATTCCGTTAGTTTTCTAATGCTGTCGTTTTTAATCCATGAAATTGCGAGGCGTTTCTTTAGTTAGCAAAAATTTATTTCATTAACAAAAGAAACGTTTTGAGTCTGAGTAAGATAAAATTTATATTGGAATCAACACTCTGATTAAGAACGAGTGCAGCCATTATCGATTTTTAAATATATTTTAATGGGGGGGGGTTAAAGGAAGTTTACAATAATGAAAATAAACACTTCACGCAGTTATACTTAATCATAAGTTATAGGGATATTTTTTATTTATTTCTCACTGTGATTCATATATATATATATATATATATATATATATATATATATAATAATCCCTTGGTATATAATCCAAGTGAATCGATAAAATAATAAATATTAAAACTGACTGACACATAGAGTTCAATGTCTTAATTAATCAGAGCAACGTATTTTATACAATAGGAATTAAGATTACATAAGTTTAATAATCATTTTTACGTTGTAAATTGAAATGAAATTTACAAGGATTTTAAACCAGTCTACTGATGTTAAATCTTTCCAATAATTTATCATACATTCACTGATTTGTTAAATTTTTTTAAATTTTATTTCAAATCCTATTGTATTATATATATATATATATATATATATATATATATATATATATATATATATATATATATATATATATATTTATTTATATATATATATATTTATATAAATATATATATATATATATATACATATATATATATATGTAGCTCTGCTGATTGCGTTACTTTACACTTAGTGGTAAGGTGTTCATCTCCCAGGACAACCCTGAACCTGACTTTTCTGAACGATACTGACTGCAATGTCTATTCAAGCATGAGCTAGTGTGAAACGCATACCCCAGTTAGAAAATCATAATTAAATCAACATGAATGGGATTTTGGAGAATAAATGAACGTGTTTGTCATTAGATACACACAGAAATCGACCAGATTAACTCCGTATGAAAACACAACGAGATGAGAATAATAGTGCTATAAACATAAGTAATCAATAGGATTAGTACCGAGGACAAAGTGTAATCGAATAATCGATATCAAAGGCAACAATTGATAAGACAAACCACAATCCGATTGCGTGTAGACAGTGACGAAACCGTAAATCATAAAATTTAATAAGTTCAATCAAAGTAAAGACAGAAAAAAGACGGTCACGAAAGGACAGAGATTCAAGTCTAAATAATTTGCCTTTGATTGTGTAATAAACAATCTAAAAAAATGGACATAGAGATTACAGTAACTTTAAGTGTGAGCCACTTTACTTCTGAAAAAATAATATTGCATTTTCCTCGGCTTTAAACATAGCAAATGTCTGGACATTTGGCCACTAGTGTAAGACAATAAGACCGCTAAGAAGCTAGGGGAAAGTAGGTGTGAGAGAAAAAAAAAAACATTTTTAGAGAGAAAGAACAGAAGAAGACATTGAGAAGACAGAAGTTTTGTATAATCCTCGCCATTTCTTTCAGGATAATTCAAACTTGGCCACCCATACCACGATTGCTACTATTCCCGTACATATCAAATTTGAAATGCAACAAAATATTCTTAAATATACCTAATCTACTATCGTATACCATAAGACATCATTTAATGCTACATAAAATTCGAGTCGAGGCCCTAAAGTCTAGTCACCCAGGGCAAAAATTCTTTTATTCGAGAAACGTAAGTTTTAACTTTTTATCCATTTGGATTAGTAATAAATAACATTTTCTATATGATTTTCATAATTTTTTATGCAAAGTCTATACGCTTTATTAAATTCACGTGGACACGAAGCAATATATCCACATTGCCGTAAAATTCAGTAAATTCATTCTTTATGCGTACAATCAAGTGAGTTGCATCTGCTCTTTTCATTGTTTACACCTTGTCCATTAGCATACCCGAGAAAAAGACGTGGATACTTTCATTTTTCGACAAAAAATGTTTAATCTGTGCAGGTAAAAATATAGTGGATGAGATTTCCTATATGCCAAGACTTTAAACACACTCATATATATATATATATATATATATATATATATATATATATATATATATATATATGTGTGTGTGTGTGTGTGTGTGTGTGTGTGTGTGTGTGTGTGTGTGTGTGTGTGCCTTTTTCATTAAAAACGACAGACAAGGTGCTACGATTAAGCTTTTATTTAATTTTCTTGTGTTCGAACAAGTGTTTTCTTTTTTGGTCACAGAGTATGTAGACAGCAAAACTCTATTTGAACCCATTTAAGTACACACACAAAAACTTACCAGATTCCGTCCAAAATATGCCAGTAGAAATTGCAAACATAATAACCTCATCCAGCTGTAAAAAAAAAAAAGATTAAAAATAATGGAAGCCTTAATAATAAAAAAGAAAAAGCCAAACCGCAATAATGTTACCTACGAACACGGCTAAATTGTGCTAACAGTGTTCGGAAAATAAAACATCTCTATAACACTAAAAACATACACACAACTCACACACTAATCATAATAATAAAATCATCCATGATAAAGGCTAAAAGTATAGGAGACATCACTCGGAATTATAGAATAGTTGTACATCAACTACATATTCCCTGTCCCCTAAAAATGTAAACACTTGTTCAAACACATGAAAAATTCAATAAAAAGCTTAATTGCAATACCTTGTTTGTAATATATATATATATATATATATATATATATATATATATATATATATATATATATATATATATATATATATGTGCATGCGTGTGTGTCTGTGTGTGTATAATCAGGCAGAAAATTCTCTTTAGGGTTGTCTGATTGAATAAATTACAGACATTATGTCTGCTAAATTTAAGTGTAAACTGTTGATAACGGATAATTTTTTTCTCGTTTTAATGAACGCTCAGCATATTGACAATCGTTTACAATTAAAATAATGTAAATTTACGGTATAGGATAGCAATATATAACTTTGTATAAATACTTGTACGCCTGAACAACATACAGTTTTGTACTAATTGCACCCCTGAAGATGATCTTGGAAGAAGATCGAAATTAAAATGAAAGAAATTTAACAGTTTAGAGCACATTTCTCCCATGCTTTAATATCAATATACGGAAGGCTATTCGTGAGTATGAACGGATTTTGTAAAAATTAGCAGAAATAATATCTTTAAATTATACAATCAGACATGCCTATATATATATATATATATATATATATATATATATATATATATATATATATATATATATGAAGAAATATACTCTTATTGTGTGCTATATTTATGGCATAAAGTGCTCAATATCTGGAATAGTGCTTGTATATATATATATATATATATATATATATATATATATATATAT